GTTCAGTTATCTGGACAAAGGAGCATTTACTTAGCAAACCCTTACTAAGAGGTATTTACTCCCTCCTTCCATTTTTATCCTAACCAGGTAATGCTGTAATGAAATTTCTTAATATACACCTAAGTATACTTTCTTTCATTCCCTTTCTGATATTTCCTAAGGAAATAATTATGAGATATATTAACAAATAGTGCTTTAGAAAAACAAAAGTGAAAGTAAAGAACGTGGATGAAAACTGATGAAATCTAGTAAAATGAGTACCTGAATTGATAACATTGCACCAGTATTATCTTCCTGCTTTTATCAATGTACTGTGGTATGTATGATGCTATCCCTGATGTGAGCTAAGTGAAGGGTACATAGAATCTTACATTTTTGTAACTTCTTGCGAGTCTTAAACTATTTCAAAATAAAATGTTATATGTAATATTTATCACAAAATCCAGCAGATACAGTATATAATGTACTATTATTTATGTAATACTGTCATATTAATCTGTATATATTTTTTCAGTCAGGAAGATTGTATCAGTGTAACATCCAGTAAGAGTATGTGAAGTGTTTGACCAGTGGGTGACAAGGGTGGTAGTCAGGAGTTGGAGCAATAGACAAAAGAAACACTCCGTGTGCATTCTGGTTACACATGGGATTTGAGCAAACACAGAAATATAAAGAGGGTAGTGGGAGCCAGAGAAGGACAGTACAGATGGAAACTAGAAAGGCTAGAATAAAATGTGTTGTTGAATGGTAGCTGATGGTCTGACTGAAAGAGATGAGCACTTTTTTGTAAGCTTACTGGCTGTTCTACTTCTTCATAGTGGAGTGCACTATGGAGATCTTTCAGCTGGACTATTTCCCTCTTCATTTTTCCGGTGGAGGCTGCCTTTTTCTTACTGATGGGGAAGTCTTCTTTGTTTGTTTATAATATTCTTTATTTTATGAACTAATAATATAGCAAGCTATATGTTAGTTAGCCTCACTCTATTCAGAAGGACAAGTTAACAAGTCACAAAACTTTGGTGGTGGATTTTAATACAATAATGTCTATGAATGATAGAGATTCCTTGAGAGTCAAGGGAAAGAAGTCTTAACAGGATAATCCTTATTGATGGTGCCTTTCATGGTAACACTTTTTGCTAAGCAGTCATGAAGCTGATTTGTTGACCATCTCTTTTATGGTTCTCTGGTCAAGCTGCATTCTGTCTTATTTGCTTACAATTCCATGACCCAGAGCATAAGGCCCAGCTGGACTCTCCCACACAGTACCTGGAATCACTCACTGGACTCCTCTCAGCTGGTAGCAGGGCTGGACTGGAAGAGCCCCAAAATCCTTATGCCCATGTCTGCTGGCTCAGAGCTCATCCAGATGTCCCTCTCTCCACATAGCTAGCTTGAGCTCACCCTTGGAAGAGAGGGGAGATGTATTAAAAGAAGTTGCATGTCAGACCTTCGCTTACTCACAGTGGGAATGTTGCTCCCTGATTGTTTTCTTTTTTCTTGTCTGTTTGCTTTATCAGGACTCTCTTCTTCCTCAGGAAATTATCATCAAGGTCGAGAGAGAAGATGTTGCTTCCTTGGCGCCTCCATCCCAGGTGAGTTGCTAGCTTTACAACATGCATGACAGGTTGGTGGCAGGAGCCAGGTTAACTGGGAATTGTGTAGAAAGTGAGAAAATAGAGGTAAGAGTGGGCATCTCCTACAAGAAATTTGATTGTTGTGTGAAAGATTCAAGAAGGTATAGCTACAAGGATTTCTGCGGTTTGAAGGGCCCTTGATTTGGACTTTGTTTCAGTGATTACAGGGAGTTAGTGGAGAAAAAGAAGTTAATGATCAAGAGAGAAGAGATGAGAGTATGAGGCAAAGTCCTTGATTAGTGCCAGAGGAATAAATTCAGAGCATATATGAATGAAGCTGCTCTATAGAGAAAGAATGAGTAGAAAGAGTGAGAATGAGGAATTTATTTAAAGGTTTGGATTGATCTGTCTCTGTTAACAATAACATGAAGTTGTCTTTTGGACAAGAAGGTAGAAATGGGACCAGAAAGAGAATTTATAGCAATAGAAAAGGCTTGAAATGCTAATTTTGGATTATGGGAGAATAGGTTGGCCCAGGAGATACAATCCATCTGAAGGAACTCTGTTGACCATTTAGTGATCATAGTCTTTCCAGCAACCTTTTTGTTTGTTTCCCAGAAATAAACACTCTATAACCATTTTCTATAGGTAGCAAGTTGATGTTCAGAGTTGTTTGCTTTTTTGCAATCTATCAAGCCCATGCAATCAATCTGTCCCGTGCACGGATTCCCTGTAGATCAAGGTGAAGTTGAAAAGGAACTTCAGCTATCTTTTTATATTCTTATTTTATATTCTTATTTACCAAATAAGAATAAAAGAAGTGATCCATAGACTTAAAAGGAAAATTCAGATAGAAAGGTAAAAAAGATGCTAAGAAAAATGGTACAGACTGGTAAGAGTCATGGTAGCTACTTAAATTCTGCAGTGACCCCAAAGCATGGAAGAAGAAAGGAAGTGACTGAACAAGTAAAGTAGAGCAATCTGATGTAATAAAACAATAACAATAATGATGTTGAAATCAAAGAGTGGACATTTCTGTGAAGTTCTTTATGGTGGTTTTTAAGGTTGGGACTTGGGCTGGTTACCTGAACATAATCTCTCATGCCATGCATATGTGGTTGTATCCCAGCTACTGACCCTGGGTGCTATATGTCTTAATTTCTCTAACCTTCAAGACTTTTATCTAAAACTGATGGACTAATAGTATTTTCTCAAAGGAACTTTGTGAGACTTAAATGAATAATTTATCATTTAGCACACTGCTTGACTTGACACAGTTAATGCTTCCTTAAAGTCAGTTGATTTCATTATTATCAGAGAACTCTACAAGTAGATTATGTGGACAGTGCAAGATGAGATGAAATAATTGCATAAAGTTCTTCAATTAAAGGATAAATCTAGGTGTAAGTTTTCAGTGGATGGGGGTGGTAGCTAAGAGGTTGGTAGGACATGACTCCAGGAAGTGAGGTAAACATCTTGAGTTTCAGTGTGATTGGGATGACACATACGCCCTAGGGGTAGGGGTGCATGAGAACTCTGAGTCTGTGAGGACAGCAGAGGAGGGAATCCTGGGGAAGTGTAGGTTGCTGATAACACAGGGATGTGTGGGGGATTTTGGTGAAGGATGTTGAAGCTACAGGAGATCATTATTACAGAACTGCATTTGTGAGGGTCCAGGTGAAGGTTTGGGAAGCAATTTGGGGAGTGGAGAATTGGTACAGAAGAGAGAAATAATAGAGTACGTGGGGAGAGAAGTCCAGAGAGCAATATCTACATGCTGGAGGAATGTGTCAGATGGGTAGGGGATAGGCCTTGTTCTAATTCAGGTGAGGGGAAAGGACTTAAACCAGAATTTGAATCAGGTTATTTTGATATATTGCAGATTCACTTATTGAACTGTCTTACAATATATATTTAGTCTTTAAATCTGCACTATGCAAAGTGTCACCTCAGCAATCTAGTGTCATAGATGACTATGAAAATGATAAGAAAATATGGTGAGGCCTATGATAGAGATTCATGGGACTTTGAGAATATGTAGAGCAGTTTGCTCATCTAGTGTGTTGCTATTTATTTGACATTTGAACTTGATATTAAAGGGACTAACATTAAACAGCAAAGGGAGTGTTTATTAAAAGGAAGCCCA